TTGATTAATAAAATTGCAATGACTGGGACAGAGAATCATCATCATCATAAACATGGTTAAGATTGTCGTTTATTCATAAGTTGGAAAAAAACTTAACTATAGCAAGTGGAGAGAAGTGAAGTTTCCATTATTAAGATTGATCATATTATAATTACATAATCTCATAGTCTGTTTTCAAATAATTATCGCTAATTATGATTTTACTTCCCCTATCTCTTTTCAGCTGGTTTTTTCTTCAATTTTAATTGTTATTTTGCATCATAATTTCCTATACTTTGCTTTCTTCTATTATGAATGTGTCTGTATATGGTTTCAAACGGTTATTTTTAACTTCATCTAGTAAAGTTTTTAGAATTATCATTTGTTCTAGTGTTAGTTGGAAGTAGTATTCCTGATCCTAGGTTTCGTGCTGTTTGGTACTCATCAGTAAGATGTACTTGTAATCTTGAAGGAAATGGTGCTTCTTGATGGATTCGATCTATCTGTTATGTAACCAAAAAGTGAATCCTAGATGGTGCTTAGGTTAAATTATTTAACGAAACTTCTCCTAAGATCGTTCGTTGAAGTTAAAGATATTGTTAACTGAGTAATAAAGAGTGTTTAATGAAGCCAGATAACATTCTCCCTTTCTTACTTCCGCTTAAAACCTTAACCCTAAGTTTTTTAGGTTTGTAAACAGGAAGGTGGTAAGGCACTGCATTATAGCTGATGTCAGTTCATGTTGAAAACTGTAACCCTAATTTGTAAACATTACTCAAAACTTCAGTTTAACTCTTAATGCCTAATCTTGGCCATTTTGTATTATAACTGATGTCAGCTGGTGACGAAAACTCGATACAGTAATAACCCTAACACTCAACACTAGCCTGACTTCTATTATGTATGCGCATATGTTAAAAGCTATTATTCCTTTGCTTGATACTGTTAATTGTTCTATAAATAAGTAGCGTCTCCTGATTGCTAGATAAGTTTCCCAAGATCGTCAATATATTTTACTTTAGGCAGTCAGACTTTAACAAAATAAATAGTCAGCTGAAGCTAGACCACCATGGAAAACCTGGAAGCACTGGAAGGCTAGACATTAACACCGTCGGATGCCTGCTCAATGGTCTGATAGTTAAGCGCTCGCGGAGGGGGGGTGGGATCGTGGATGCGCACTGCTGAAGAGTCCCATACTAGGACGAAACGGCCGTCCACTGCTTCCACGTTTTCCATGGTGGTCTAACTTTAATTGACTAATTATTTCAACTATTGAAATGACTAAAATATCCACAAAATCCCTTCTGAAAATAACTAGTTATAGCTATATAATATACCCTTATGGTTTTCAGGAGAACCAGACACCATCCAGACTTTCACGTGGCAACCCAAACAGTACAGCTCAATCCCGTTTAACAGGCGAGCCAGATACCACCCAGGCTTAACTTCTATAACCCGAGCAGTACAGCTCAATCCCGCTTCATAGGAGAACCAGACATTGTGTAGGCTTTAACGCTACAATTTGAACAGTACAGCTCAATCCTGTTGCGCAACCACACAGGTACCAAGAACCCTGATGGACCAGTCGCACCATTCATATACACATTCACATCATATGTATAGTTATTCGATCAATGATCGCCTGAATCAATTATGCATAGCACAAACAGGCCAAAGTTGACCTATTCCGCTTACACGTCAGTCAAACTCATTAATGTTAGCAACGGCGACATTCCTTACAATGTCCCAATGACAATGGCCCTTGAGAACACTGAAAGTAACCACCAGTATGGATGAAATCGGTTAACCAGCAAACCAATTTTGTGCATGAACAGTCAGCAAAACTTGCCAAAGCAATGCCGAACCATCCACAACACCAATGGCGAACCTCCAGCCTCATATGAGATCTTCAGTTCTACATAGCCGTATAGTTTATACTGCATACAACACATATGTAGGGTAGTAATTTATTAGTATTCATAATTTATTCCATCCATATACATTATCATCATATAGAGTATTGTAAACATGTTATTTGTAACTGTTTAGAATGAATCATCTTTCTGTGTTTTTCCTGTACCAATTTATAAATGGGAAAAGTTCAATCTGTTTGATATTTTTTTCCCATTTCAACCGCTTACTATTTCATAGATCAATATTCATGTTTTATTGAATTCTATCTACTTTTTTTCCCTAATTTGAAAACTTAATTGACTATGACACAATACATTCATTACTAATGGAATATTTCTTATTCATTCGAAATAATTTATGATTAGATATATCAATATTCTTTATTCACTAAATGTCATTTTAGCAGTAGAAAAAGGCTTTCTATACATTAAACCCTAGAAAATGTATAAAACATATTTCGAAAGATATTTAAGAGATGGTAGTTAGTGACTAATAGTAGGAATCATGATGGGCATTTCATTTTGTTCAGGATTCATTAGTTGGATATACCTTCATCTCATTGTTGATGTCCATTCAATATCACCTGATTAATAATAAACAGGATGGAATTCACATTGTAGATCGCAATGCTGCTAACTATCCAACTTTACGAAAAAAACTTGTTTTCCAATGGTAATATCAAGATGAATGTATACTATAGGAGACTGATCGAAAACCAGTCCTTGACATCATTATGTTGATGATGTCTAATAATGAAAGACAAAGCGATCAAAAATATGTAGTATCTTCATAATAATTCAATATTGACCTTTAAAAGAGAACTGCAACTAGTCAAACATTCACCATTACTTTTGAAAACAATTCAGCTTTTAGATTACAGTCTTGTGAATGATGAAATTAACTGACAAATGCTTAATACTTTGTACAGCAAACGTTTACAAAGTTGTAACCTTCACGAATAACATACGATATTTTCACTGCACTGTATCATTCTTGACAGTACTTTACTCGGTAGACAAACTTTTTTTTTCAAGTACTCAGGAATGGAATCATATCATCTTTGTAGTTTATTTTATTCACATTAAGTTTATCACTACAGTTTACATTAAGACGACACAGTTTCTGATAGAACAGCCTATTACCGACTGAAAGGTAGGTATTTCAATGCAATATATATGGAATGTCAGCAACATTTTAAATTATACTCATAAAAAATGTGCCGTCATGAGATAGACGGTGCATCTAAACCTAAATTTTAATGTATATCCTAGCTGGTGCTTTTACTACCTTACTGTTTCAAATGGACGTCGTGTCGCCTAAGAATACAATTATCGAAAGAGATCTTGAAGAAGAATTATCAGTCGATTGGATTGCTAGCAGAGAACAAATTACCATTAAGTCATACTGTTTGAGCTCAACAATCATTACACTGAAAATTCTCTCTGAATTTGGAAGAAAGTATCAAGCTATAAGGATTGGTTCTAATCTACATTAAATCTAGTATCTATTTTTACACATATAAAATAGGATACACGAATATTTGTCCCAACAAAGTGCTTATATCAGCATATCAAAGTTCAGCTACACGAGTAATGTATTTGTTCGTTTTCAGTTTTGAGATAAACAGTTGTACTGTTCAACTATTTTGGTTCCCATTTTCGATCCTATAAGAATGTACTTCAATATCCCCACGCGGAATCAAACTAATAGTTTTCAGATCTTGAGGTGAGCTGTCCGATTCCCTCTGGTCTTTAGTGGTCCTCCAAATGATGTGTTACAATCCACGACATTTGACTAAGCTACAGACCATTCCCATACAGTCGCCCAACTAGCTAGGCGAGTGACGAGACCGATGAAATGGCTAGAAATCTTTAATTGGCAAAATTGATTGAATATGTGTACCAATCATTGATATTTATACATGTGTACTATTGACTTAGACAGGGATAAATACTCTGAGAGCTTGATCAGTTACATATTTGGAGTCCTCTGGCATTATACCTCATTAACTATTTCTCAACTATCATATGACCTTGTAGGGATATGTGGACTGGCTGAATTTTCGGACAGGTATGTGATAAGTCTAGACTCGTTCAGCCTATCATGATGGCAATCAGTGATAATAAAAAAGATAACTTCGTGCTGAACAATCCACATGAAACTGGAATGTTTAAATTCCAATAAATCGAAGCCCTTTTCCTAAAATCATAATGTATACAGTTTTTGATCCATATTGTTGGGGATACTGAATCTTTAAAAATCTCTTGGCAAACTTCTTATTTTTGTAATTTAATTATGGAATTTGAATTCCTCATTTTCGCGCCAAGGGTGCTCATTTTTACCTCCCGTTTGTGTTTTTAATTTGGAATAACCTTAAATGTCATTGATTAGCTTTCTTTTTTAATACCCTATTTTGTGACGTTTTTCAGGGACATTTTTGTGTTGTAAATATACGCATATGTTATGTGCTTCTTGTTTGTTCTTCTGGGCTGCTCGTGGACTTATATATTTTTCCTGCTAAATCTGGTCTTCTTTTATATAGCAGGGATAGGAAGCAAAAGAATAGCTTAGCTTGTCCTGTTGTTGTGTTACTGTCTTTCATTTCGCTCACCTGCTCTAAATGACATCTTAATCTCTTGAACACAGCATACAGATATGTTACAATTAAACTTATCATTACTGGTAACAAAGCTTCAAGGTACTGAACTCAAAGAATTCATCAAACACTAAACCATAAATAAACTGATTAACCTAGTAGATAGAATAAAACGAAATAAACAAATTAGGCAATGATCATAAGCAGAAAAGGATAGTGGAGAACAGTAGAATCCAAGACTCGCGTTTCATCCTGTTTGGGACTTGTCAGCTGGATGTTCCTTAAAGTCCCAAACATTATTAAGAAAACTCAAACAACCAATACAATAATGAATTAAATTAGGTAGCGGTTCTCAGTGATGTGAAATTCAAGCACTGAGACATTTATAGTTTCATACAGAATACGGACAGTGAATATTGGTAATGAATGTCAAATGGTATAAAATGTAAAAACCTGGAATTTTGTGTCTTTTAAAAAATAAAAAAATAAGTTTTTATGTTTCTATATTTGTGTATTTTTTAATGAAGTTGAACAAAACATTATCATTTATGTGTAAATGACATTAGTTGTCAGGTATTTTGAAAATGGTGACATACAATATACAACTTCATGATAAATATATTTGAATCTTGTGATGCTTTTTTACATAGATGAGTTGTTTCTGTAATGTACACTGTCATAAATGTTTGGTTTCATCTCACTAACCTTGTGTTTTAAAATGTTTATTATCACCTATAAGGCAAGTTAATTCAACATTACATTAGAATGCCCAAAATAATAACTTTGGAAACTTTAAAAAAAAAATATTAAGTATTTTTTAGACGAACTAACTACTTATGAGTAACTAATGTTGTGTTGTGTAGTTCATTAGTAATGATCTAATACATTGAATCAAGTTGTAATGTGATCATTCATGTAAGAAACTTGACATTATATTGAAATATCTTTCATGATTGAAAGTAATGAATTACTATCATACTCAGACTTTAATAGAATTTACTAAATATTAAGCTTTATACATTTGGTTCGACTTAGTAGTTTACAAATATTTCAGTCCTACAGGATCTAAGTCAGTGTTTGAATGTGTTTAACTATGAAATAAATGTTACCTCATAGAAGAAAATATCATACATATACAACAATATGTTAAATATAATCATCAAATCCTTTGTATTTCAAATTTATTGAATACTGAATAAATAAAAACAAACTAGAATTTCTCATATATGTGAAATTCTATATTTAAGAAAGAATATGAGAAAAGAAACTATTTTTGATAGTATTAAACTTTTAATCTCATTTTTTCACAAGATTATATGTTCACATTCACTTAGTGCTGTTTACTTGTATCTTCACATTGATGTTTGGGACTGCAATTGACCAGTCTCTCGTTGGCATATGTGCATACTATGCGGACTGCCTTGATATTTCTCTAGGTCACAAGCTTTATGAACAAAGGTGGATGGTGGCTAGCAGTAGAGTCCAAGACGCGCGTTTCTTCCTGTTTTGGACTCGTCAGCTGGATGTACCGGATCTCAGAGTTGATGTTCACTCCGGGACTCGAACCCAGTACCATTCGCTTCAAACACCGCCACGTTATCCACTCAGATACTGAGTCCTGATGGCCACTTGCTTGTGCAATGGGATAAATTTAAATTCACTTGGTATTATTTGGCTTGTATCTTCCCATTGAGGTTTAAGACTGCAATTGATCAGTCTGTTATTGGCATATGTGCATACTGTGCGTATGCCTCGATATTGCCTCAATTCACAAGCTTTTTGTAAGCAATGATGGATAGTGGCTAGGAGTGGAATCGAGGACGCACCATTCGTCCTATTTGGGACTCGTTGGCTGGATGTACCTGCATCTCAGAGACTGGTCAGTAGCAGTCTTGAACGTCAATGGGAAGATGCAAGCAAACAAATCAAGTGAATTTAAACTTCAACCCATTGGACAAACAGGTGGCTATCAGGACTCAGTAGCTAAGTAGATAATGAGATAGCGTTTGAAGCGAACGATGAATGCAGGTACATCCAGCTGACGGGTCCCAAATAGGACGAAACACACACCCTGTATTTCAATGCTAACCACTATCCATCTTTGCTTATATGTTTAAGTTTATTAAAATCCTATTTTAGCATCTTGAAGTAAATCGATCGTTGTGTCTGTTCAGTGATACTTCATCCACAAAAAAAATAAGAAATTATTAAAGAAGATTAAGGTGTTGAAACACAAGTTAATCATTGAAATCGGATGGAAATAATCTTTGTATTCGAAATACCAGAGGATTAAGACATGAGTCATGATGGAAAGAAAAGATTTTGTTGTTATTGATAAAACTCTCTGTATAAAAGTTGGCTCTTTGATTCAGACTATTTCTAGAAATATATATTTAATATGAGTAACAGTTTGCAATTTCTCACTGTTAATACTTAAAACTGCAATTGATCAACGATATCGGAGTTCATAGGTGATCTATTTGATGCAACGTTATGCCATAAGTTTTAATGTTCTGTATGTAACTAGCAGTGGAATCTAGATCGTGTATTTCATTGGATAAGTTAGTGTGTTTCTATACACACTAGCTCAGTAGATAATGCATCTGTGAGTTTAAAGCGTAATTTACCAGATATGAGTTTCGGTGTGAAGATCAATACTGAGATGTGGGTATGTTCAACTAACGGGTACTAAGTAAGATCCTACAGTTAACTGTATATCAACAATACTTACAAGTTGCAAATAATTTTGTATTGATTCATTATTTAATTCATTAAAGTAAATTCATTATAACAATTGTAAAATATTCTGATCATAATTATGGACATTTCCACCTCATTCAGAATAGTTCATTTCAATTAAGTCAGTCAGTCAGTAACAACGTAGAACTTCGTACGTATGTACGTACATCAGTTCGAGTTGCCATACCACATTAGCACAGAGATGCAGTTGTCGACTCAAATTCCGTAGTCGTAGAGGTGGTAAGAGTATAAGCAGTAATCGGAAAGATTAGGGTTTGAAGATGTTATTCAAGGAGTATAATCCAGTGAAATAAATTTGGAAAGAGGAAAAAAGAAGGGACATGAAGAATTCAGAAGATTAGAATTTGAGAGAACACAAAGAGTGTATGCACCTGCGCCATTGCAAACGATTTTGAACCATGTCATTCAGGGTCTCTAACCATCGGTCGCTATCATCTTGCGGTCCGCAACCAGGTAGTCTACACCTACCAACATGGCTCAGTCCACTTGTTAGTGACTTCATGGACTTGTGCCATGTTTTGGTCTGGCCGCCACTAGCTTTCTTCCAATCTACTCATTTCAATTAAACTTACTAGCTATTGAAGAGAAAGAGTTAAATTTGTCACAATAATTTATGAATTCACGTTGATACATATTGAAAAAATACACTTTCAAAAGAACACAATAAAAATAAGTTCAAGTCTAAACGCTTAACATCTCTTGATCTTATACCTATCTCCCTTCATTTCCCTAATAAATCTCAGTAATTTATATTTCAATAGAAATTAATCAGCAACAGTGTTGTCGAACACCTTAAAGAATTTAATCGAATAACAATTAGATATACCAAAATTATTCTAAGTTACAATACTTTCAATTGTTCAAATTAACCATTCTAGTTTTCCATTATTCTCAATACTACTATCTAATTACTTTTGATTATGAAAAATGCTCAAATTGTAAAGTTTATTTTTCAGTGTATATACAAGCTGTGATGTCTTTCGATTACCTAGATTTTAGTTCAGTACTCTAATTTAATATCTTGTACACATGATCATATGTTAAAGTGTGAATAAAAATTTTAATGATTAATCAAGATTGTTCTGTCTTATATTAGGGTTATTATGAAATCCAAACTAACGAATCCCAAGTAGATAAAGTTCATACAAATTGCTTGAATTGAAATCGTGAATCGATCAGTGTTATATCATTATTAAAAATCAGGAAGCACTGGACGTCCATTTCGTCCTAGTATGAGACTCTTCAATAGTACACATTCACGACTCCATACAAGCGGGAATCGAACCCAAGATATTCGATTTCGTGTGCAAATGTTTATTCTCTAGACCATTGAATCAGCGCTCAACAGTGTAATTCTTAACTTCACTCAATTCATAACATTGGGGGACCATTTTCCATTTCCTTCGGTAGGTAACTGCCTCACACGTGAAACGGTTTTGCTTTACTGATTATGGCTTTTCAATAGAACCAATTGAACATCCTCTCGATTTTATTCACTTGTGAGCCAATGATAATTTTCAGTATGGATTTGTGGAGATTTTTGAGTTTCATTGAACTCATGAATCGATCAATGTTAGGCTAGCATTGGAAACCTGGAAGCTTCCCATACTGAAAATTGCTTTAATGTTCTATACTACTCATAAGTAATCGCTGTTTATTGGATATTTCTTTTAACTCTTGTTTTATGATGTAATCTTAAACCTTTCCCCTGAAAATTAGTTTGTTTGGCTACTTCACACTTGATCAAACCAAACTGGTTATATTCCTCGGGTGTCTGTGCTTTATATCAAGTGTTTTCTATTGGCTTCTTTGTCTGGATGTCAGTTCACAATTTATTCTTACGTTTGTTAAATGTGAAACGGCATATACACAATAGTAAATGACAATGAGTTTAAATTTATTCAAACTACAGTGTGTATATTTGTATGGCAAAAATATCGAATTGTTATCTACATAGTCAGTTAACGTTGATGGATAAATACATTTTAACTGAAGTTTCTACCTTATAAACACAAGTGAACTGTTTAAGATAAATCTATTTTCAAACTAAATCAGAACTGAAAACGATCAACCTATATCAAGAAAGTATGAGTTAAATCTCAGTTACATAATACTTAAAATTCAAACCTTTCCTACCTCTTGTTTATATTTAATGAGACTAAGATAATTTAATACATTTATGAATATTATTCAGTAACTTAAATAAAAATATGAATGCAGACAACGTACGTTTATGTTTAATGATACAAAGTCAGGTCGTTTTACAGACAATATTGTATTTTCAGTATAGGGTTGTGGAGATTGTTGAGTTTAGATTGATCAATGTAAAAACCAGCACTAAAAGGCCGTTTCGTCCTAGTATGGAACTCCTCAGCAGTGTGCATTCACAACCCGTCATATGGGACGCGACTTAGGACCTTCAGTCTCGAGCGTGAACGCTTAACCCCGAGACCACTGAGCCTGCATCTAACGATGTTAATGTCTAACTTCAATCAATCCACGATATTGCACGAACGTTCACCATTGTCTCCAGTGAGTAATTGCTTCACAGCCGACACTGTTGTACTGTATTAGATGCTCCTCCTATTTTAGCTGAATTCACTCAGAAGTAGTTATTTCAAACATAAATAAAACATGCATAGACTCCCTAATTTTATTATCATAAATAAGCGGAAACTACGACTTCATTCGGCCAAGGACATTCAATATTTTGATCCTGTTTAAACTGAGAACAAATAGATGACACAGAGTAGGTGTTACGTCCTAGTGCCCGTTAAATATCCCGTGACAAAAGTTGTTAATCAGAATACCGAATTTTATGATCTTCAATAACTGTATGGTAGACTAACTAAGTGATTTGTTGTATAACATTGATATGACGGGATGAAAAGGTAAATTACATCTTTAACTCATTGTGAAGTTTAGTTCAACACCACTTCTGTGTTTTATTAAACATGATGATTTCTTAGTGT